TTGTGCAACTCACTTTCTCTATGTATACTCAACTCCTTATGCTAGTTTCCTAGACTTGTCTACTCCTCCATATTCACGAAACCTTTCATTGTATTTACTTCTTTTTTCAAGTAATACCACCAAGCTTTACACTCTTTCATGGCACACTTATTATTATTTTCACAAGTCACTTAACTTTCCAAGGAAATTTTGATAAAGGACCTTTGAAAAAATAATTAATTTTAAAATTAAAATTAAATTATTTTAAAAAAATCAATCAAAGTCTTATAACTATCAGCCTACTTTAATGTAAATTATATGCTTTTTACTTTTTAATTGAAATAGGCAAAATTCCATCATCTCCCTTTAACATTCCTACTTTTAAGAATTATGGTTTTTATTGAAAAACAATTTGAAGAATTATAGCATTACTTTTTATGAAGAAGTTCATTCTGTTATAAAATTGTTATTACCTATCAATTTTTGTGTTTCCAGGTTTTATACCCAAGGAAATAGTAAATCTTGTTAAACTTAAAATCTTAGATTTGGGATCAAATCACTTGAGTGGACCCATTCCTTTCAATGGGACGAGGTTGGTAGATTTATTTCTGGAACACAATTTCTTTACAGGTAAATCCAATCTAATCTCCTAATTTTATCTCTTAATTTTATATGTTTTAAGGAAATTTTCATTTATTATTTGTGCTTATTCTCTCTGTATGTGTGTGTGTGTATATATATATATTAATTGTTCGTAAAATTTATAACTGAAATTTCTTTAAAAATAAAAATTATAGTATAGTTGATATGTTTAACACAATCCATTTTTCTTAACCAATGACATTGAATTTCGAGAAAATTAATCCTTAAGTCCTTGTAGCTTTTCTCAATTTTAAATGGGAGAATGACAATAAAATCCCCCCAAATTATATAAATGACAATGTAGTCCTTGAAAATGCCATAATTTCACTAAAGTCCCCAAAGACCTTTGTGTCAATAAATTTTAAATTAAAAAAAACCATTTTACCTTTATTGTTAAGTTATGAGTTCTTATTCAATTCTTGTGATTTTTTGAATAAAAATTGTTATTATTTAAATAAAAGTTGTGAATAGGGTTTGCTATTTTGAAATTTTTTTTCAATATTAGAAATTACATTTGATAAGTTGCAATTGCTTATTCAACTCTTGCGACTGAGAGAATAAAAGTTGTTATTGCTTAAGTAAAAGTTATGATTGAGGCTTGTTTTTCAATAATAAAAATTACACTTGACAAGTTGTTATTTTTTATTCAACTCTCACAATTCAAACAACAAAAGTTGTGATTAGGGCTTGTTATTTTTAATAAGGGTAAATTAGTCTTTTAACTTTAAAATTTATTGACATAGCAGTCCCTAAGGACTTATGTAAAATTATGACATTTTGACGGACCATATTATCATTTATATAATTAAGGGGGATTTTATTGTCAATTTTTCCATTTTAAATTCAATTCCTGTAGTTTATTTTGTTTTAATCAAGTACTCATACTTTGATACATTAGATATGTTAATCCCTAAAAGTTGAAAATAATAATGAATTATTAAATTTCCCAAAACAAAAATAATTTTAAAATTTATAGAAAATTTGATATAATATCTTTCAAAAAAAGCAAATTTGATTTATTACACTTATTAATTTTCATTAATTTTCTTAAAATTCTATATATATAAATTATTTATAAGAAAAACTTAATTATATAAATTTTTGATTTATAAAAATTATGTAATTAAATCTAAAGTTATACAATCTTTTAAAAAATATAACAGTTCTTAATTTTATTTTTAGAAAAAATAAAGGATTGTTTTGACTGGTCATAGGTATATGCTTTTGTTGGAGATAATACTATTTGAAGTACGATCATGCACTAAATATCAAAAGATTATGGGCACCTCTCTTAGCAAGAATTCAAACAATCTTCAGAGATTAAAAAATTTAATAAATCAAACTATAAAGACTCGATTAAAACAAAATAAAGTGCCAAAACCTAATTTAAAATTGAAAAAGCCATAAGGACCTACAAACATATATTTCCTTGGATATTTATGTCATAAAAAGGGGCAATGATTTTCTCCTCTCCCTTCCCATCATCTTTCCCTCCACTTTTTAATTTCTAACCATTAAATCAAGATTTTGAATGATCCATATTTGATCTCCTTCAAAACATTTTATTTTATTTTACTTTTATTGTATTTTTAACTTGTTCTTATTAAGTTTTAGTACTTGGAATTTTATTATTTATATTTTTAAAATTTAATATTTTAATAATAATTTTATAAGAAATCAAATCTAAACCATTTAAATTTTGATCAAATGGCTAGAAAGAGAAAAGAATGGAAGAGGATGGGAAAGAAAAAGAGAGAATCCATGCTCCATAAAAAGTTGTTACACACAGGCATCTGCCAAAAAAAAAAACCAATATATTTTTTATATACGGTAATGGGAGGGTGTTGCCCAAAAAGTTGTGATTGAAATTATTTAATTCCTTAAATAAAAATACTTGATGTATTAATTCATCGTTAAGACATCATTCATATTCTCATTCAAAAAAATAAAATAAAATACAATCATTCATGTTCTTTTTAAAAATACTCCACTTCATGTCTACAATGGACTCACACCCACGTGTTCTATTGACTTTAGTTATATATATATATATATATATTTACATTCTTTACCTATTTAACTTCTTTTCCATTTTTATTTTATTGATATATTAATTTGAATTAATAAATTCAGTAAATAAGGTGTAAAAATTAAATTTTAAAAACAAATCAATTACCGTGGCACCCCAAATATAATTTATGATTTTCTTAATTCTTTTTTATTTTTAAACTTTAACGAAGACAAAAAAATAAATTTAAATTTTCATATATTTTTATCTAGACAATATAAAGACGTGATTTTTTTTTTTAAGATATAAAGACATGAGATGTTGTTACGTTATTGTTATAAGATGAAATGAATTAGACTATTAGTTGGAATTTTTTGGTATACATGCCAGGGTTAATATTTCCTTTAGGAAACAACTCGATCGATCTATTTTATTTCATTAAATTTCAAATTATGTGATATTTCTTTTTTTATTTCTAAGCATTTTTTACATAGAAATTTCAAACTTATAATAAACATAAATATTATTTAAAAAATTATAACAATAGACAAAACTTAGATATTTAGCCTTATATAAAAATTAAAATACCTCTGTGCAATCAAAATAGAACAAGTACACTTCAAAGTAGTAGTAGTACTAACAACAACTTGTTAGAGGCTGAATAATAGATAAAAAATATGCACATCTTGGCCTGATTGGATAAAAATTATAAATAATTTACAATTTTTCTTATCTTTTGGTTGAATATTTCTTTATTTAAATATTAGTTTAGGGTTGTGAAGAGATTTATTTTATAATTTATATATTATTTAAAAATATTACATTAATTATAACTGGTTCAGCTCAGTTTAATTATTAACCCTTAAATCAATGGATGTAGAGGGGAAGCACTATTAGTTGATGTAGCCATTTAGGTTCCATATAAGTATATAAAGCTAATTATATAAATTATTTTCTAAAAATTAAAATTTTGGAGTTCAATAAAATTTTAAATAGAACCTTTTTTTGCCAGAAAATAGAACTCAAACTCTAGTTCAACCAAATTTTGCACTCAATTTTGTGAAAGAGATGTTTCTGTTTATAACTTAGGAAACTATAAGGACTAATAAAAAGGAAAAAAATTATAAGGACTTAATTAAAAATAAGCTGAAATTATAACAAGATGGAGATTAATTTTCTCTTTATTAATTTACAAAACTAAGTTACACACTCTAATAATTACATTCAAAATCAAAACAAAAAGAATACTTGCCTATCTTACAAGTATATCATTTTGGTTTAAAGAGGAACTGTGCTACTCGTTCAATAATGATTTGTGAAATCAAATAAAGCTATTCAAATTAAAAAATTTCACAAAATAATTTTTTTTTGAATTTAAAAAATTATAAAATAAAAGATAAAAAGTTAAAGTTAAAAGAAGAGACAAAGTATGCAATATATATATATATATATATAAACATAGACTCATTATATAGGATGTGGAGCCTTTATCTACTGAAGTTGAACAGAGTATTCTAAGATCTAAGAGTACCAAAGAATTTCTTACTCTAGCTATACAATTTTTTTTTTCTATACATAGTTTAATAAGCCACACAGTATTAATTGGCAATGCACAAAAAAAATTTTATATAGTTAAATTCTTTTTTATCAGGATATTTTTGTGATCAGATATAGTTAAATAAATTCTTAACATACCTGCAATTAAAAGAAGGCAAGTAACTTGATGGTTTGAAAAAAATTTGCTTTTTCATTTTCCACTATCTATGCAGAGATTATTTAGCATAACACAAATACTAAACTATTTGGAATTATACAGAGATACTTGTAGTATACATGTACATCACATGCAAACAATATTACCTTTTATATCTTTTCTTTTTAAAAGATCATTTAGCCTTAGCAATTAACAAATTACAAAGCCCTCAACATTTTAGCCTTAGTTAGAAACAACAAATTGCAAGGGTCCATTATATACATGAACTTTGCCTACTCAAAAATTTAATTTAAGTTAGTTGTATCTTGCGAACAACATTAAATATGTATTTCATTAATTTAAAATAAAATTTATTAAATAGATTACTAAAGAAACAATATATTTTTTATAATCAATATAGTAGAAAATTAAATTTTCAAGTATATGTGTTTTAGATTTAAAAAATGAGATCAAATAAATTTGTTTCGAGTAGCAAAAAATGAATTTTTTTTTTTAGATGGAGCAAGTAAAATTTTTAGGGGAGACTGTAACTTTTTTCCTCATAACTAACCCTATCTTTGGACCTTTCTCACAACTTTCCCATAGGAAGAATGCAATTTGACCACTTCTCTTGGGAAAACATGTGTTTCATTGACTTGAGTTTCAACTTGCTTCAAGGAGAGCTCCCTTCTTCAATTTGCAATGCCAGTTCACTTGAAATTCTCAACCTATCCCACAACAATTTCAGTGGCCCAATTCCACATTGCATTGGGAGCTGTAGCCCTGCACTTTATGTGTTGGATTTGCAAAGTAATAGCTTTTATGGCACCATACCAAAGTCATTTGAGTTGGGAAACAAGTTGAGGACCCTAAATCTTAATGACAATCTTCTGTATGGGTCGTTACCTCAATCTTTGGTCCATTGCAAAAAATTAGAAGTCTTAGACATTGGTAGAAATGCCATTCATGGTACATTTCCCCATTGGGTTCAAGACCTTAAAGAATTGAAAGTGCTTGTTCTTAGAGAGAATAAGTTACATGGTTTTATCCCTAATTTAAATAGCAAAGCTGACTATGCCTTTACAAAGTTGAGAGTCTTTGACATATCCAACAACAACTTAAGTGGTCCTTTACCTGCAACATACTTCAAATCTTTTGATGCTATGAAAAATCAAGAGGGAGAAATTGGTTTAGAATACATGGGTTCCAATCTATCTGATCTCATTGTCACATATCATGACTCCATTGAGGTCACCTTGAAAGGATATGACATTTATATGGAGAAGATCTTGACTATTTTCACATGCATTGATCTATCTAATAACATGTTTGAGGGAGAAATTTCAATATCGATTGGGCAACTTAGAGCATTGAAGGGGCTCAATTTTTCTCATAATAGGTTCATTGGTGTGATTCCAAACTCGATAGGAAATTTGATAAATTTGGAGTGGTTGGACTTGTCATCAAATAAGCTTATTGGAAAAATTCCTACTGAGTTGACTAGTCTCAACTTCCTATCTATCTTAAACCTTTCACGAAACAAACTTGAAGGTTGCATTCCTAGGGGCCAACAGTTTGAGACTTTCACAAGTGATTCCTTTGAAGGAAACAAACAATTGCATGGTTTTCAACTAATGATTCCTTGCATCCCTAATAGGGAAAGACAACCACCACTACAAAGTTCAAGTTTTGAGGCTAGATTTGAATTTGGATGGAGACCTATCTTGCTAGGGTATACATGTGGAGCCTTACTTGGATCAACAACGTTTTGGGTTGTGATATTTACTGGTAAACCTCAAAGGCTTGCAAATTTTGTGGATGATCCACTTGCAAAGAAAGGGAGGAGAAGGGTTAGAAACCGTCACTCATAGAAGCTATATCTTCTTTGTATGTTTCAAAATTTCTCTTCTACATAAAATTTTCTTTTTTTTTTTATCTTTTTTTCCCTCTTGTTAAATGTTCAAGTTCTTGTGTTTATTTTTCAATATTTGTTAGCAAAGTCGTGAGGAAATCAAAATCTATTTCTGTTAGCTATATAGTAATTGCAAATCAAAGTATTTTTCTCTTTGCTATTATAATTGCTTTTTATGTGTATCTTTTAGAAAATTGGGAAAGATAATAGTCAATCTTTTTTAGCTTTATCTACAATAATTGCTTGAATGATTGTTTTTTTATCATGAAAAAAAGAGATGAAATGTCATATAGGAATAGCTTGGTGGCAAAGGTAGGATTGGGGTGTGTGTGTAAATATTAATAGCTCTATCACTCCTGATTAATAAAGGGGTGGAAAAAGGGAGATGAAATATATCAATAAGTTAATTAATTGTTTGGTTCTTTAATTTAAACCTCAATTAAATTGATTAAGTCATCTGGCACTTATGATTGTAATGTTTTGGAGGGTCATAATAATAACACATTAAATTGAAAATAAAATTCAATTTATAATATGTGTTCAATCAGTTTTCTTCTATTGAGGAATGTATGTATGTGTTTATTAGCATGATCATAATTGTTGAGTGTGTGTGTGTATCGCAAACTGTCTAGAGCATTATAAGACTTTTCATGAATCCCCTGTTTTCATGAAACTGTTGCCGACTATTGGAGTAGATAAGTACATTCAACAGATGGCTTCCTGGCTAAAAATGAAATTGAATCGATAATCCCAGTCCTTATTTTTTAATTGATATATATATATATATATATATTAAAATTCTAATTAGTTTTTTCTTCTCTTTTGTTCATGCTCAGTGGTTACTACAAAATTAATTCGTAGAAATATGTTGCCCTTGTTTTGATTACGACAAAGTTAAAGAAGATTTTGTGTTTAACATGTCTAAATTACTTAGAAAGTTGGAAAGATATTAAGTTGGACAGGTTAAAACTCTTCATTTTTTTTTTGTGTCAAACTTCCATCAATATTTCAAAATATTTGCTCAAATATTTCAAAGTTTCTGTTCTGTTAAACTTCAAAACTTGTGAATATTTTCTTTTGATATTTTCAAAGATGTTTCCCTGTGCTTTCCTGTCAAATCTTTCTAAGTTTTTGTTAATATTTCGAAATATTTTTCTTCAGTCATTTGATTCTTCAATATTTCAAATTTTTTCTGATATTTCGAAGTATTTGCGCTTGCTGTTACAATCTCTAATTTACTTTGAAGTTTTTGACAAATATTTCAAAGTTTCGGAGCTTTCTAATACAATCTCTTAAATACTTCAAAGTAAAAAAAAAAAATCAAAAGATTTCATCTTGCCCTTGTCTGAAATTCAATCCTTCAAAGTTTTGTTCAATATTTCATAATATTCTCTTCTCGTTGAAACTTAAGATGTTATTTCAAAATTACTTCTAATGTTTCAAATTATCTTACCCTCGCTCATTAAGCTTTCACAAAATTTCAAAATTTCTTCCAAAAAACAAAAAACTTCAAAAATTCTTCAAGAGTGAAGTTCATCAGTTTTCTCCTAATTTCTGGTTTTCACTTTGATTTTTTGGGTTAAAGTGCATATTTTCTCTTAAAGTATTTTTCGAGGAGCACTCAGCACCTTAACGTTTTTGTTGGAGTAATTTTGCCCTTAAAGTTATTAAAATAGAGCATTTTTTCCATTTCCATCAAAATTCCAACATTAACTTCAAACATTGATTGTTAGAAAATTTGACTGAAAAGACAAAAATGTTCCATTTTAATAACTTTAAGGATAAAATTGCTCCAACAAAAATATTAGGGTGTTGGGTGCTCCTTGCAAAATACTTCAAGGATAAAAATGCACCTTTACCCTTTTATAAATTAGTCTAAACTTATTCTTTATTGATTCCAAACTTAATTATATCTAGATTAACATCTCTTGAACTTTGGATTCCACTTTAACAAGTTTAATCTCTTTGATAAAAAAACTTCTTAAGTTTTAATATTTCAAAAGATCTTCAAATATTTTGAAGTTTTGCTTCTACAATAATAATGTCAAAACATTTTTTAATGCATTTTTGCTTTAAGCCCAAAACACGTAACCTAGCCAAAAAAAAAAACTTCTTTCATCCATCTTTCATGGGAAACTTAACATTGTCATAAACAACAAACATTTGATAAAGCATTCAACGTTCTAAGTAATGAGAAACAAGTCTCAATAGATACATTTATGAGTCTAACAAACATTGGCGCAAAGACAATATAAAAGGATGAATTTATGAAGATTGAAGTGCGGAAGTTCTTGCGCAATATGTGATATTCAATTCATTCAACTACCTTTTGCTAAAATCTTTAGAAAATCTATTTAATATGTTCATCCAACCACTTAGGAAAACCTATTCCAAAGATTTCAAAGATGTAAGAAAAATATTTTTAAATAGATATCTCTCTAAATAAGTGAATATGAATATAATGAAAGCTTATAAACTAGTTGAGATCTTTTCTATAGAATATTGAATGCAAGTTAGTAAGAATTGAAGGCAAGAGACTTAATGGTCAAAGAATTGTTACCCACTCACTTAAATGAGGTCCTGCATTCATTATTATATAAAAAAGCTCTCAAGTGATTTATAAAATTTCATTATATTCACATTCACACTTTTAGAGACCTATTGATTTGAAAATATTTTGCTTACATCTTTGAAATCTTAGGAAGATATTTTCCTAAGTAGTTGGTTGTTCTTACAAGTGTTATAAGTTGTTTTTCTAAAATCAAGATGGGTGTAGTCTTATGGTTTATACTGTGGTACCAAGCACCACCAAAGGTTGTGTCTATAGTGAAGAATTCTTAGAGGTGTTTTAAAGACTATACTTAGGCTAAATGGTTAGACTGAACCAAAATAAATCATTTGTGTAGTATCTTTATCCCTTTACTCTTTATATTCAGCTCATCTTTATATTGCTCTCTCTTGGTTCTTGTCTTTAGGTGATTTGTTTATCTAAAGAACTTTGTTTTAATTAATTTGCTTTAGTTCCTTGTCTCAAAAGAAGTTGTGAAAATTCATTTTTTTGGTAAACTATGAAAATTCATTTTTACTTCTTATCTTATAAATCAGTATTTCACAAGCTTTTCCTGATTTCAATCTAGTCATACACTTGTGTTTGGAAACTTAACTTATACCTTCTTTCAAGTGTTTTGACAAACCTAGCAACAGAAGTATTTGGAATTCACTTACTTGTTTTTGTTAAACTTTTTGTTGCACCTTCATTTTAGTTAAACTTTGCATGTTTAGTTTGACAATTGCTAAACACCCAATTCACCCCCTCTTAAGTGTAGTTGCTTGATCTTACAACAACTTCTTTCCCTTTGTCACGTAATTCAATATCCTTCTCCTTTTCTTGGTCGATTATAGTCTCAACCCCTTTCTCTTAGGGAATATTAGCTTCCTTAGTGTCCATGTGGTCAAGTTTCTTAGGAATAAGTTTGTGGGTTTTTGTTTTAGGTTGATTCTTCTTCCTCATGAAATTTTTTGTGACAGGTCATTCAGTAGGAAGTGTTAGTTGAGATTTTAGAGTTTTTGGTGCGGAAGGCTCAACTATATTCTTTGTAAGTTGCTTAACCCAACAATTGAGATTAGATTCATCCTTATTATCTGATGAGTTAGTGTCACACTCTAAAACTTAGATATGACCGGCATAAGATATATGCAAAAACATACATCCATTAAGCCTTTATCAAGGAAAACTCTAATTTAATATCTTATTGCATTTGAAATATGATTAGAAATCATCACAACACTTTCATCTAAACAAAATAATCCTAACATTTTTGTAGAAATTTTGGCAAAAATATTGTGCTTTCTACAAATGCATGGGCCATGACAAGTAATAAAGTGTGAGTGAAGTATCATTCCCATGGAGATTTGTTTAAAAATGATGATTAAGAAAAGACTAAGCAAATACAATTAAGTTGAGCAAAACATAATTAGGTGAAGATGATTTTGCAAACTATATTAACACTAGAAAATAAAGAAAAGCAATTGATTCACAAATTTCAAGCACAAAATGGAACCTAAGACTATTTTATCGCCCTCGTATCTCATAATACAAAAATTACCTCCTCTCATAAATGCTTTTAATGAAGTTAAGTACTAACCTAGGATTTTAAAAATACTCTCTTTCAAGTTATGAACAAGTGTTTAGCTAAATGAATTTTCAATCTCTTGTTACAATTAATAAAACTTAATTTTAAACACTAACCCTAATGTGGTTATGCAGGGCTAGCAAATATATCTCTATCTTACAAGTAAAACCATCCATTCAGCATGAAAATTTCAAATTCTTTCACTATTTTACCCAAATTAGCTCTCTCAAAGCATTACCTAAGTGAGCCCAACATCTAAATGATGGCCAAACAATTAGAAGAATTAAGAAAAGAGTAAAATAAACACACACACACACACACACATCATTAATTACAAAAAGAGAGGAGGAACTTTGTGTTAATTTATACAAGGGTTCCAAATAACCCTAGAGCAAAGTGTTTAGCTGCTTATAATCATCAAAAGATATAAATACACAAAATATTTCAACCCATATTAGAATATAAGAGAGGAAATGGAAGACAAATAGAAAAGCTGAAGAGAAAGAGCTCCAAATATCTTCAAAACTCCAATATCTTAGACCCAACTCTTCTATTTTCCAAACCCTAGTACTTAAAGCTCCAAATAGTTGCCCAAAGTCTAAAGAATGTGTTCTGAATCGAGCTAGTAGTATATACGTATCCTACCCAAGTATTTTCAGATAATAACAAAACAGAACATTTTGCTGACAGCAGTAAAAGTCGCAAACAAAAGTTGCAACTTTGGGACAACTTTGACAGTTTTGAATTATTTTCATAGTTAACAAAACTTATCCTTTTTTGCACTTGATTTCTTCATCCAGAAGCA